TAGTTATGTTTCGTTTAGATTGGTCGTAACTCGTAGAATCGTAGACACAATGATTTACCTTCCAAACGACGAAGTAGGTAGGTACATTCAAAACATACTATATGCAGCAGAGCTAGTTACTGTTTTTTTTTTGTGATTGAAACGTTTTTTTTTTCACAATTAATTATTTGCTCGTATATGTATATGACATATTGACATGTAGACTCGTTGGGAAGCTTTGTCACGTACATCCCTCTAATCACTATCCAGTATTCTCATACTTGCTAGTTATACATACCTATAGGTATTTTTTCTTTCAAAATGTACTGAACTGTATTCCAATTAAACTATAAAATAACAAATAGAATATTTATAATTAGTAGGTAGGTAGGTACATAAATTATTATTTTATACAGGTAGTATGTTTTTGCTTACCTACCTAAATTAAAAATAAATAAAACATTTTTAATTTTTCTTAAAATTAAGAGGTTTGATACTCAAATATATAGTCGAATTGTACTAATTTATGTAGGTAGATATTTTTGAATTGGAATAACCAATGGTCATAAGGAGTTCAAATATTTATGTAAGTTTAGGCTGGAGGCGAGTAGATGGTATACGTTTATATAATATTATGTATATAATAATATGTAAGCACAAAGTCAAACAAACACGATGAAACACATCGTATACAACGCAATTAAATCGTACCTACCTATATAATATGTGTGTACCATTTATGATTATTATACAGTTCGATTATTATTTACTCGCATGTACACGTCAACATGGTATATCGTTCAATATCACACCCCCGCGTCCCATGTTTGAACCGTGTGTTCAAACAAACATAAAAAATAAAATTCGTCCCATTAAAACGAATGCGCCAACCACTCACTGTGCAGATATATGGATAACATTATAAACATACATATATGTGCGTATGTCACATTTATAATATTATATTTAATGTAGGTATTTGATCAGTTGATGTCTTATACAGTGACTAGGCAGTGCTCTACATAATCGGATACTAACATGGACGAGCTAAAACGGTCTTCCGAACTTTTTTAATTAATTACTAAAAATACCACTCGAAAGAACTATATTATTAGGTATATCAACTTATCGTGCGGTAGGTATATATTGTCCATCTCCATATTTTGTTTATCTGTCGATCGGCGAAACATGAGTGTAGGTCAACAATGCTGTACGTTTTGTTAAGGTTATATTATATTATTCCCTCCCCCCCACACGATGATTACACGTCCGGCGCATTCTTTTCGCGTACGCGTCCAATATACTTGTAGGGAAACGACTTACGAAAAGTTTGCATGCTGGACACGGCGGCGGTATATAATAATATAACGCAGCGCGTGACGGACATTAATGTCAACTGCTTGGTGAATTCGACCCCGTTGTATAATATTATATAAGTATATAATTTCAGTTTTCCTGATAATTTCTATTTATCGCGCTGCCAGCCATGTTCCGGACTCGGCACTAGGTCCTAAGCCTAACTCCTAAGTAAAAAGTCGACAATGTATATTGACATATTGTATATTCCTAAAATATGGTCAAGTATTTATGTATGATATTACCTACCTATGTATTTATCGAACTCCCAGCAGTGCAACTATATAGAGAGGAGAATAGTGCTTAGCCCACTACACTCCCTCGCATTATACACGATTTAATGCCCTGAACTATGTAAACCATCCATAGTTCCATTTCCATATATGTATTATGTGTACATTTTAAAATTTGTCAAGTCGTGTTACGCATATTGATAAAGTCGTAGAGATCTACTGGGAATATGTTTATTCTTTGAGGATTGTTCATAATCAGGGCTTGTAAGTTCATGCATTTGCAGATCAATCTTGCTAAGTAGGATTTAATTCTAATTTAAATCCATTTCAAGGTACTATGGTTAAGTATATGAAGTTTTATTTTGTATTTTGTATATTTAGAGGTTTTTTACCTATTTGGCATATCTATGCGTTTTTCTATTTTATTGGGCATATTTAGCTTATTTTTAGCCAAAATTATGTACACCATATGAAGACCTCGTTTTAATTACCATATCGGAATTTTGCACATAGTACTAAAGCTTCTGCTATTAACCACCAATTTTAGTTTAGCAACTATAGATAACCAAAACATCACTCATTTACAGTTTGTACAATTTTTAATTATGAAAAAAATAAACTCAGTCTACGCCCCCCCTCCCCGGATATCGATCACCTGAGTATTGCGCTGTATGCCCACACATTTATATCGACTACCATCGATGTCGTATGAGCAAAAGTAAGTCTATTCGACGGTCGTATAATATAACTGCAACAGCGCAAACCCGGAACCTAAGCCGACAATCTTATATATTTCTTTATGTTTTATCACTGATAGATCGTAACGAATTCTACAGAACGATGTTTTTATTTTTTGTTCCCCTGGCTGTAATTTAGCTTAAGTATACATATATATATATATTTATATATATATACGATCGAACTCTACGGGAGGGTGAAAATTCGCGGCACTCGCCAATCGTAGCGCTCGGGACGCGATTATATTATATCATTGCCGTCGTTCGGGAAGGACTCTCCACTTTTTTTCAAACTCCGTCTCCTCGATGGTGGTGGGCAGAGAGCTTAACGGTAGGCCGTTAAAGTTTCCCGCTGTGCGATGATGTTAGCGCCGGGGGCGAACAAGCGCGCGCACGCGCCGAGAGGAGGAGATCTGCCACCACCTCCACCTGCACATTTTACTGCAACCCCCGTTATCGGTCGTGGTATCTATGTATATACACTCAAACTCGTTCATAAATATGTGTATACTAGTATATCACATTATATTATTATTGTATACACGTCACACCGGCCACAGTTATCGAGGGTGGTTTAACCAAACAGCGATATACACTAATTAATATATATTTGTGATGTATATTGATATATATATGTATAGTATTTAGGTATCATGCGTAATATAACTTAGTATGTTTATGTAGTACATTTTAATAATCGAAGTCGTACAATTTTCACGGAAGTAATATTATAAGTTCGATAAAAATTTATTTAAATTCAGAAGAAATCTGATCCAACAGTACCTATATTAGTGCATTAAATTTATGACCTTGATTATATTATAGAATGTAGATAGGTAGGATACCTGACTAGAATTTAGAGCTAGAACTATGTATAGTTAACATTCTACAGTTATTACTCTTTTTAATTTATAAGTTTATAAGCACGATAACTAAAAACCTGCGGGGGCTCGCTTTTGTTGTATGGTATAAATGTTTAAAATTAGGCCGTTTTTTATGTGTAGTACGAAAATTGGTAGTACAATATGATTAAGTGTGTAACGACTTATATTTTGTGACAGTATATTTAGATTATTTTAAGTACTGATAAATTACAGTTCAAGACATTTTAGTGCAAATAACTAATAAGCATTGATAAGTTTTCATGTATTTTCGATAATGGTATCCCCAATAATCACTTAATAATATGTAAATAACTATATTTAAATTAATTGAACATTTAAACAACACGTTAGGTTAAAAACATATGCATGATCATTTTTATTTAAATAAAAAGGGCAATTAACGTCGCATGTGTTGTGCGCTGTACAAAACGTGTGTACTGTGTAATACAAAAAATGACAATAGAAGAATGGGCCCTGTTTCAATATTTTCATTGAGTAGGTCACTGTGATAGAATAAAGAAATTGAATTCAATAATAAAATCATTGCTTGCCTATACAAAAAAAACGTTTCTGAGAGAAGCAGGAGACTGGCAGATCTGCAGAATCTATTTCAATGGATACCTAATTTATCTTATAATATTGTATTATGCACCTATTGTTATTACTTGAAAGTATTTTCATAATTCGTTTGGTTAAAAATTTAAAATAATTTTTGCCACAAACAACATCATATGCGTACATAATATGCAACTTACAAGTCTTATAGCCTTAAATCTTAATGTGTTTAGTTAAATATATTTAATGTGTGTACCGTGAATTATGTAAATAGGCTCGTGATAACGTTGCTTAATGATATAGACCATACATTTGGTTTATTTGTATACAGATAATAAAATTGTACGCGTAATGATGAAAAGTTTCTACAGTTAATATTTATTAAATTGGTTACAAAAAAAAAAAAAAAAAACTAAAATCGTTAATTTACAGTTGAATATCCAATGTCATTAAAATGTTATCTTAAAATGCAAAGTATTATAGCAAAACAATTTTAAACATGTGTTTTAAATATTTTTGAAATGTTATTAACAATTATACAACTTATGAGTAACCTTGTATATTAATAGTTTTCAAGCCATTACAGGTTTTAAAATGGAAAATGTTATGAATTTATTATTAACTAGAAACATTTTTAAATTATCATTTTAAAATTAATATAAGTTATACCTGCACACATTTCTCGTTCCCCATAGAATCTAATACCTATCTATAGTTCCGTCCATATCTGAAAACGACATTTAATAGTGTACCTTTGAAGCGGTTTTGTGCTTGTTGCTGTGGGATGCCCCTAATTGTGACTACGGGAGTATATTATGGTCGTAACATTCTATAGCGAGGGTTATTGTTACATTATGTTCAGTCGAAGGTTAAACCTGACGCATTATTGTCCGGGAATCTATAAACAATATTATGTGACCAGTGGCGTATATAGAAATAATTTTTGGAGTGGGCTATAGTAGATATAGAAACTAGCAAGTGATCTATTACTTAAAGGCTACTGTCTACTATATATTTAACAGTTTCTATATATATATTCGTATTTGTTATTTTTCAACAGGCTATGAAATATTTTAATAGTACCGAATAAAATATATTGTTGTTCTGTTTAAAAAAAACTGTAATTTTTTTTTGGGGGGGGCGGCTGCAGCCCACTGTGCCCTCCCCCTATATACGCCACTGTCTGTGACTGTATTATGCTAATCCAAACAAGATACTTTACGTTTAGACGGGTTATTAATTTAATTAATTTACAGGCGGAGGCAATTGCTCCAAGGGTTTCCCAAGGATTTCCCTACGAGTCTCTCGACTGGCCGACAATGCCCGACATTTCTGGATCGTCGCCCACAGGATACGACAAATCGTCGTCCTCCGGATACGACAAATCGTCGGAGGAGGATAACTGCAATGAGGACTCGTGCGGCAACATTTACAAATTCACCGCAAGAAAACCCAACGGACAAAACGTTTGTTTGCAACAATACGTGTAAGTGGGCGCCGCATTATATAGGTTTTTGTAAATAATTTATTGCTTTAATTTGTGCACAGTGCACAAATATTTTAAATTTCTATCGTGCATCTCAAAATCTTTGTGTCAGCACCTCTTTAAAATACGAATTTTGAAAAATCCTTTCTTAGCGCACCCCTACATGGTAGTACGGTACCGGTAAGATGGTACCATGGAAGTCTCTGGATATCATAGTATAGGCTCTACGTTGATCGGTCAGTCAGGACGTGTTTGCGATTATATTATATTATATAGTTAATATATATGTATATACGAAAAGCTGTGCCACTATAACACTGATTTAGAGGATGATTCAGTCACAAACAAATTCAAAATAGTTTGGATCTTTTTGTGCTATCCATAGACATTTGAAATGTTTCACCGTTTTTAGATTTTTATAACATGTATGGTAACATTTTTGTTTATCTATGTAAAATTGTTGATAGCTTAATGTAATGTCATGGTTCCATATAAGTCGATCTAGAAGGAATTTATAAATATCGAAAATAAATTGGTACAATTTTGTTTTATAAGCGTTTGATAATATTTGTCAAAATCACAAAAAAGTGTAATTTATTTATTTTAATAAATTAAGTCGTGATGATTTAATACTCACAATGTAATACATATGGGTCCGTGGCATTGAATTTAATATAGATGGACCTGAATAGTCCAAAAAATGTTGCCAATGTATTTTTTGTGTATCAAATCTTAATGCCATACGATGTATTGTCGCAATTGACTTCACGGGTTTGAATTCTTGTTTAATAATTTACCTTATAGGACTGATTTGATAAGACATATGATAAAAGAAAGTAGATACCTACTTTAAACTCTTCAGAATTTAAAAGTTAAAACCAAGGATCCTTGTAAGACTATTTTATTTAAACTTATAGGTACCTAGTCTTGTACTAGTTGTACTTCTATCGGTGTTGGTGAGTTATTGACACAACTGACACAGCCGACACAGCTCCCCCCCATCTCACCACTTCCGCCCAAATATTACTAAAGCCTTACTGAATGACCGACTTGTACACAAATATCTATTTTGGTACACGACCACGTGATGTAAGCATAGGTACATCAAATAATATTAATATAGCATTAATTACGACGATGAAATATGTATATATTTCTATTGCAGTGGAAAAGTGTTGATCATTGTGAATTACGCTTCAGCATGTGGTTTCACATACAACAACGTACGCACTCTATCGGACTTTGCTGAAAGGTACAGGAAATGTGGCTTGGAGATACTGGTATTTCCCAGCAACGACTTCTTACAGGTACCTAATGACTACATATACCTATACGAACCGCATTTTTGATTAATTATTGTAAACTGTTGTCAGTTGTCGTTAAAATATTAATTGATTTGTTGGTATAAAGGTGCATTTTAGTGCGTTAAATTGCTGAAATTCCAAGTATAATTTATCGACTCAGCTTATAAAAAAAATGGTATTCAAGTATAATGCAATGCGTTTGAAGTAGTTAGTTGTACATACGTTTTATCTATAAACAGAGTACATTAACTTTACAGAAGGAATTTTTAATCTATTTACTTAATTATTAGTATGCTGTATACGAGTAAGCGCCATCTCCAAAAAACAAATTTAGAACGATGTATAGCGCACGAAAATTTACCTATTAGCAAATGTCAAATCTAAAAAAAATCACAATGAGATTTTTTTAAATAAAACTGTATATATTTATATAATAACTATATCCTATATCAGTTAACAAATTAAAAATAAATATTTTATAATATTATATTTAATTATATTTAGAAAATTCACTGTTTTTGCTTTTAACCAGGTGTAGTAGTAGGTTTGTATAATACTTAGGTATTAGTTTATTTTACAGATATAGATACATCATTACGATGATTTTGGATTGAGTTTAATTATATTATTCTTTATAAGCTATAAAGATTGTCAATAACTTATAACTTATATAACTCATAACCTATGTCTTTTCGTTTATTTATGCCCGACCGCTACTGTGCTTTTAAAACTTGCATAAATATTACATACTTACGAATTATGAGTCATTAAAAATAATTTTTGCATGCATAATAGAACATCGGTGGGGATATCGCAGCCGAAGAGTTCGCAAATAATCATCCTGAATTTGAAGTATTTTCGGAAATTTGTGTAAATGGCAGATCACAACATCCTTTGTACAGATTTCTCAAGAATAAGTTACCGGGTGCTTGTAACGCAAAGTAATGCTGCCAGAACTCAAATTCATCACTTTTTTTTGTATTGCAGACTTTAGTATATTTAATAATGCACTTGACAATTTTTCAGACCTATTAAATGGAATTTTACCAAATTCGTAGTAGACAGGAACGGATGTCCCGTTCAACGATATGCGGCCACAGACAGTTTTAAGGTAAACATTATTATTATAATTTCAGCGCACTACTGCACTTGTTATAAAAAATAGAACTTAATAGAAGTATAGATCGATAACATCAAAGATTCATTTTTTCATTTCGTTAAAAATTATACATATTTTAAAATTTTACACAAAATAATAGAAACATATCATAATAATATAATGTAGGTAAAGACTTCAAATAATCAAATCGAACCAAATATTATTAAGTGGAAGTTTAAATTAATCATTCAAGTTATAATGATAATATCATAAATATAAATAAATAATATTAAATTAATGTTTTGACTTGTCATTAAATATAGGACATAGAAGATTTAGTACAAGAACTGTTAAAGGACCAACGTTGCTAATTATGTTACGTAAATTCAGTATGGTCCAACTCAATTTACCATTATATCCAGATTCCACCTGACATACAATACTTGTATTATGTTATTATATAAAATCGTTATTATTCAATCATGCATTTAACTTTAATTTTGTTATTGTTAAATTTTTTGTGTTATTTTAATAATTTAAAGGTATAAAAATAATTATTTTTACTTTTTTTACAGTTAAAACTCAAAATGTATTAATAGGTAACGAATAATACTTGTGTTTTATTATTAAGAGATTTGTTTGAAAATTGTGTGGGTTGGATTTTATTAAATAAAAATGATTAAGTCCAGACGAACGAATGAATTTAATTAGCCGTCAGTGTTGAAATTACAATAATTTAACATCAACAATATAACAATATATAGGTAATACCGGCAAGAGGATTTAATCAAATTCAGATCCATATAGAAAGAACATTAACCTACAAAAGTTGGCATCTGAAAACTTTATTTTCCTTAAAGATATGAATACACACGCTTTAAAACATAATTCTGATTTTGGTCAGTAAAATTACACAAGTGGTAGCTTATTACATACATGACAAATAACAACGACACTACACAATGGTGCATTCAAGGCTACAACATTTATAAAACGATACAGGATTTATATTATATCTTTTCAACTCTGGCAGTGAACAAAATGAAGTTACGTTTACTTATTTCTAACATGTCTGATAAAAGAAAATCTATAGGTACATAATTGGAAAATAATAATAGTATTACCTTCATCAAATTCACATCATAATATAGACGTGATAAAATAAATTCTTTTTTAGACATCATACTGTGCTATAAATGCTAAATACCTAAATGTAAATTTAAATGTCTTTAAACTTAAAAATACAGTTATACAGTGGTTTTAGACTTTTAAGTAAAATGATAAACGAGCTTGTTGTAATAAAATCTAATTAATAACGCGAGTACCACCGTGCCTACGACAACTAAATAATAAAAAACAAATACAAATCACACCAAACATGTGAACAGAATAGAATCGAAACACATTTACAGTCTCAATAAACGTTTTTGGTAATTAGGTAATTGTTGTGGGTGAGGGGATTGAAACATTTACTCCCACCAACCAAAAAAAAAAAAAAAAATGATGGCTTATATGGTCGGTAAATATAATATAAACGCATGCACACATCAAAATAATAAATTCGATACTATTTAATAATTTTAAAATTTACTTTTTTTCGATTAGATTCGTGGAATAATCTGCGTAGACGTAAAATACTCAAAATTCAAAAGGTTAGAACTCTGAAATAATGTCACACCAAAAAATCGACAACTCCTGACCGTTATACTTAACTAGTTTAAATACATAGGTTTCCGAAAAACATTCCCAAAAATCACCTGTGAGCTAAACCGCCTTGTTTTGCAGTATTTCAAAATATTTGTGCAATATTGCAACAGTCATAAGTATGATAACTGATAAGTGCTTATTGCGAAGTAATATAATCTTGGTTGTTCTGCGAGCTTCGATAGAGGATTCGGGTTTGTATGTGTCGTTTCTGTAAAATATACTATATTCAATAAGTAATTAAATATATTTCGCCAATTTAAAAAAAAAAAAGCAAGGTGTGTTGGGATACGACATTTACTTTGCCACATTTTTGATTTTAACTTCTCCAAAAATATAACGTCTTTAGGAATCTGGGGGGATAATATCAAAAACGTGTAAGAGTCGTTTTCCGGTTGTAGACTTGACGAAAAATTCAAATCTGTTTTCAGAATTCTTATCGCTTCATTAGATCAATATTGGGATGTTTCGAAAAGAATACGTCTAAAATCCTACATCGCGCTTGTATTTAAGAAAGACAGAAAATCACCGGGTGGAATCCCTTAAAATGATATTATTGTATAGGTCTTCTATATAGAGTATACACTATAAATTCTAAAAATTGACATATTATACTCGATGATATTATATTATTATGTGGATTAATACTTTATCCGTCGTATATTTTACTATACCTAGGTACCTAATGTATACCTACTAATATATAAACGTTTTGAAACTATAAAAAAATAGTATACTTGTAACGTGTATACTTTAAATTTTTATAGATATATAATATATATGTTACTGTTCAATGAAACGCAATGCATTGGACAAATTTTAATAGTTTTAACAAAATAGAAACGCTTGTAAAATGATTCAAAATTTTAACAATAATAGTGATTATAACAAAAGTATCTATATTCTATACCATGTAATAAGGTAAGTACTGTAATATTATCAGTTTTATAATTCGTAATCGTTACAAATACTATGAATCAGATATCTGTCGTATGCTATTATTTTTGTATAGTGATAAAACAAACAGGGCCATGTAGATAAAACTGCGAATTTTTTTAATAATTAAAATCAAATCTTTCCGAACCTTACTATTTCACGTTGAAAATAAGCATTTTTCTTGAACAAGGTACACATAAGAATTAATAAATAAAATATAATATTACATTTTTTTTTACTTTTCAAAACGTTCAACCATTTTAAATGTATGTTAAAAAAAAATTGTTGTAAACACAATCATTAGGTAATTAGAAAATAGGCATGTTACACATTTTCTATCACAGCAATATTATGCAATCATGTAAAGAGGGGAAGCTGGCAAAGTAGTTTTGTATAAAATAAAATAATACAACGCGCTTTCAATGTACATTTATTGCAATTCGAGAATTATAATAGGTAAGTAGGTACTTAAAAACAAGTAGGTGCACGTCCTACGTTGTGATTAAAATTAATTAAAAAACTTTACTTAAATAATAATATAATCATGCAATATTTTTTTTAATATGTTATTAATGTTTTTGAAACCATAGGTTAAATAAAATGTGTTTTGAATACTCCATATTATTTGTAAATAGTATAATTAAAAAAAAAAAATGTTTAAATGTGTTGACATATCCTATGGTATTGTTCAATTACAAAATTTCGTATTAATTTATAATATATATTTATTAATACGTCATACGTTTTTTTTTTTTTTAATTTACGAAATGATTTAATATGTTTGGCAAAATATTGTTAAATTGCGCTCAAAGCAAAATGTTTTCCGTGCCATTGCATGCTTAAAATGTTACTAATTCTGTTATATTTAATTCAGTGGCGCCCAGCATAGATGTTTAACAAATATTTTGCAACAATTAGTACTAGATATATACAACTAATTTGTCTGTTGAGAACTATAAAACAATTTGGTAAACTACAAATAATAACCCTAGTATAATATGTAATGATAATATGGGTTTTGAATCCGCATAAAAAGAATACATACACATTTAACTGTTTATCCGATAATTAAAAGTATCATATAAGTATGCCAATATTATTGACTTAATAAAAATAATTTATTTATTCAATCATTTGTTTGTCAATTAAAGAAACACGCACGTCATAATTGACATACGTTGACTCGTTGACATTAACAAATTATGTCGATCAGTTATTAAACAATATAACATCACGAAATACCACATTTTCAAACAGTTTCAGTTTATAATTACAACAACCTTACAATGAAGATTAGAACTAACCTGTATTTAATTACGGCAATACTGGTAAGTCGACAAGTTCTTGCATTTATTATGTATTTTTATATTATATCAATAGGGTAAAGTAAGTTATATTCGTGATAAATTTACAAAGCGTCGAATTACACATTTAATTTCAGTAATTAGACAAAATTAATTAGATTTTTTAATCAATATGCTATAAATGAACTAGAATATATTATGTACCTATACTTACTATTGCATGACCTTTGATTAATTTCTATAGCAGTTCAAAAGCCAATTATAAAAGTTTGGTAATTTTGTGATATGGTATATTTCGTGATAATGGTTGGGTATTTTGGAGAGTAGACAAATTCAAATAATTCTTAATTACGTAAAAAATATTTAATTAATACATGTTTTTAAATAAACAAAAATTACAATTACAATTCTTATAAACGGTTTTATGATTTAAAAAATTATTTAGAACAATAATTTAATTAATCAATGATTAACCATATCTCAACTTTTTTTTTTAATAGCTAACATCAACCTTTTTGACACTATGTGAAGGTGTCAATGACATTGATCATGAACCATTCTCTGATCACTTAGATCATTTAGATCATTTGGACGACTTTCATGATATTAATAATTTTGATGATTCCAATGTTATTCATCGAGTTGAATTAGTTCAACATAATGGAGATTCAATGACTAAATATGCAACAACAGCTCATACAAATCAAGAGACAAATAACGAGTTATTTCCTAACACGATTCCTATCATCCAACAATCTAATGTACCAACTACTTTTACAAAGGTAGTAAAACAGACGGTTATAAAAAAATCTAATAATGATGGAAATAATTCCCCAAAAATCGATTTATCAATGAAAGATATATACAGTAACAATAAATTGAAAGAAAGTGTAATCGGTACTGTGGAAAACAATGGTTTGCCATCAATACCTTCACAACAAGCTTCTGATCTACAAAGTAATATAAAAAATATAATACACACTACAGTGACAAAAACAACAACAAGTGGAAGTCCATCAAATGAATTGAATGAATCTTTTAATAAAATACATAATTTAAACGCACTACCCTCAAATAATATCATATCTACAATGAGTTCTGAAAACACAAAGTACAATGATAGAAATGCAGGTTCAAGCTCTTCACAATCTAATTCAATGGATGAAAATAGTAAAATAAAAATAATTTCAACAACAGAAGATATAACCAATGGAAATGGTTTTGATAACTCAAAACGAATATCTCGAAAACCAGGAGGTTCATTCAGGCGCACGAAAACTACAATATTAAAACAACATAATATAAATGACAGCAATGATCGTGGTGATTTAGGTACATCTAGTATAGGATTTAATAGAGAAGACACATCTTCAAATAATATTGTATCATCAATGACAACCCCTTTAGGATATAATACAGTAACTACTTCAACTGTTGATAGGGACAATAATGTATTTAATAATGGAATCCCATCCAGAATACAACAAATACGTTTTAACAAATTGAATCAACTTGGAAATTCAATATCTGAAACTGGAGCTGTTCAGAACCCAGGCTCGTTTGTACAAACCAAAACAACAATAATAAAAAATGGAAGAGCAGCTGATGAAATTAAACTTGATGACTTAAATGATAACAAAATAGATTACAATATTGGTGATGGAATGTCTACCTCAAATGATATCGTAAATTCAAATTATATCATATCTTCAGATAATAATGGCAATGATAAAAGCAGTGGTTATGGTTATAGTTATGGTTATGGTTATGGTAATGGTATGGATAGTGGTAACCATAATAATGATGGTAATTATAATTTAATTTCTTCCAACCATTTAATGGATGGAGCTTCATCTGGGGGTTATTCTTCATATATTATGTCTAATGGGTATAGTAAAGGAAATGGTAAGAGGAAAAAAAGAAGGAAAAATGGTAGTAAGAAAACATTTAAAGGAGGCAGTTTAAAAAATGTATCATATGGAAAAAGTCAAGGAAATGGGCAAATAAGAGTTAAAAATGGTCGTAATTATAAAAATACAAGATCATCAAAAAATAGAAGTGGAGGAAATTCTCAATATTATTCATCAACTAATTATGTAAGAGGAGGCCAAAGTAAGTCTTTTTCATCTTCAGCTAGTTCTTCAGATGAGTCATCTATGAAAAAAAAGAAGTCGTGTCATTGCAATAAGAAACGAAAGTTAAAAAAAAGAGATAGTAGTGAAAGTAATGGAAGTTCAGAAGGACATCATGGGCCAGGGAGACCAGGGAGTCACGATTTAGGTATTTCTATGGAGATTCAACCAATGCAAAATAACGGTGACTTCATTGCCGGAGTTCCACCACAACTACCTCCATCCATGGGACCTGAACCTCAACCAAATTTATTATTTGACATGATGCAAGAGCAGGGTCCAGACCAATCATTAAATTACAGTCAATCAGATATTACAACAGTTTTGAATAGACAAGGGGAGATGGGAAGTCAACTGATTAACGATCATCAATTACCCAATACTGATATATCAAATCAATATTTAACATACCAAATACCAAATACTGGTTCACTATATAAGTCAGATTCTCAACAAGAACAATATTTCGGATCACCTAGACTTGGCCCAGGCCCAGGTCCACATCAAGGTCATGGCCCAGGTCCACACCCAGGTCATGGCCCAGGGCCACATCCAGGTCATGGTCCAGGTCCACACTCAGGTCATGGCCCAGGTCCACACCCAGGTCATGGCCCAGGGCCACATCCAGGTCATGGTCCAGGTCCACACTCAGGTAATGGTCCAGGTCCACACTCAGGTCCACACCCAGGTCATGGTCCACGTCCACGTCCACCTCCACGTCCATGGCATGGCCCAGGTCCACAAGCTAATCCATTTGATTCTAGACCATTTATCGGGGGTGAATATCCGAAATTGTTTGAACAAAATCTACAACCACCACCACTACAACAATTCCCATATCCATATTCATTTATTTCAAATATGGGCTCAACTACTCCTGTATTTACGGATATTCAGTCCGGACAAGGGGACCAGATAAACATTAACACTGACTTACCTCAGATTCAACAAGACATTGAAGGCACTGGGTTTAATCGAATGGATGCACTGAATTCAGGATCCATGACAACGAGTACTCGAAGTAATATGATTAGAAACACAGGTGGTGGTCCAATTATGCAGTATTTCAAAACAATCAAAACAACAGGAAATATAGATGGTAATGGTCCTCTAGATATGCAAATGGTTCAAACTCAATCAGTCCCACCCGAAGTTGACAGTTATGGTAACTATATATTATTATAATATTCAAAATAATTCAAAAGGGTAAACAGTGACAATAATAGTTCAGCGCTAAATTATTTTGAAGGTATGAATAACATAAAAAAAAAATTCCATCTTTCATGATTATAAAATCCTATAAATAAATAGGTAGTTATAACTTTTATATACCTATATGAATGATTAAAATGTTATAATTGATATTGAATATTAAGGATAGGTTTATATAATAAAATATAATGTATTTATTTATTTATACGATTTGAAATAAATACACCAATACTCTTAACATAAATTGTTTTATTAATTATAATATTATTTAATTTAACGACGAAAATGCATAATAATCCTACTCGTGTTTAATATTTATATGCGGTATACATACTAAATATCATCATACCACGACTATTTTATCAAGGTGATTTGGATTTTACGAACCAATCGGTACAATGGTACATATGGTTGTTATTATACCTACCATGTTTAATACAATAAAATCTAAAATAACGGTCGTATATGTGGGGTGTAAAGCTGTGTATATTCCTACAAGTAAGTGATATCCACGTACGGGAAATGTGGCTGATGTATGTTCTTCTCTTAATTGTATGGCTCGTTCGTAACTCTCAAAAACTGAGGACTCTTTTCTTCGAACCTAACCTTAGGTGGCAATATAATTATTATATTATTGGCTCCCCAATATACGTAGGTACAAGTCCCCCCCCCCCCCGAAATGTCGTCATACCGCACCACTTTACGCTACATCTTAGTTGGTGCGGATTCGGCAGACGCATTTCTAAAACCGAATATTTTATTTTGAAGAAACGAACTCCAGGTTTAAGCGGTTCCACACCGAATAGGTCTTGGCGTTATATTACGCGCTCGTGGACGGTGGTCCCAAAACATTGTTTTCTCATTTGATTAAGAAACACTGATAAAGTTGGGTACAAAATTATAGTAAAATAGAAAAGGATTTGAAATTTTTCGGATTAAAAGAAATTCAACTGTGGTAATGGGTTGAAATGGAAAATAATTATTTTATATTTTTGTCCATACATTAACAGTTCAAAAGAAAAAAACTTTACATGCATACATCTTATACGTTTGTTAGTTTGGAATGAAACATTCATTGTTCTTATTTATTTTAAGGAATACAAAGTGTATTGGATCTTGTTCAAACGGCAATGGAATTGGTTCTACAGATTTTACCGGGCTATACTAATACTTTTGAATCCGGCATAAATGCATAATATGAAATTGTTTTAATAGATATTTTAATAATATATTCTGATTTACAACTGTATGGAATAAAATATGTTAGTGGGATATTACAATAAGCATAACAATTAATTATTGTGGCCATTTATATACATTACCTATGTACATATTTAATAATACAATATTATTAATTATTTCAATAAGTCCAAAAAAGTTAGATTATAGGTAGTTCATTTTTAGATTATAATATAATATTATAACTATCTACTAAAACACGTTGTACAATTTTTGAACGCCTTATCACATTCAATATCTATTTGAATTTTGAGTAATTTTAACACTTAACAAACCTCAAAACTCTAGAGCATTACCTACGGATAACTGTTGTCTGTTACCTGTTGAATACAAAATATATAGTTCAAAATAAATAATAAAAAATTATAGTTTTCAATTAAATTTTTGATTCTTTAAGCGGAGCGAAAAATGTATTAGTCTTAATAATATGTATTTGCAAATTGGATCTAGTTTCTATCTACTTTGAGAGATTTTAGTCAGTAAAATTTCAAGTCAATCTAAAAACAATAGGGAAAAACGAATACAAAATCACGGAAAACGGAAATATTATATATTATGTAACACCAGTTTTCTTAAAAAATCGATTTTAGATTCTGCGTGGAGTTATGAATTATGACGAATGCAATGGTTTACCATGATTTGTGTTATTTTTGTGTCAATCATCCGTTATCACATTTAGGAGTAAAAGTACTTAAATTTCCAACTTTGAAGGAGATTTCTGGTATCAAATTGGTTATTTAGTTGGCACTTCGAAGTGTCAAAAGTAAGTAACCGGTAACCGCTCTACCATGCAATAGGTGTGGAGTGTATAAGTTCATTGAGCAGGTAAGTCACTGCAATGGATGTGTTGAATTTGAATCCAATGACAAATCATTGCATCTATATGATGAACAATATTTCTGAGCGTAGATGGTTTAACTTTTTGGTAAGCTATAAAATAATTATTTTAATAATAATATTAAAACTTTAAAAAGTGTTGAGACATTGATCGTTGTCTGTGTGATTGTGCGTCCAGTGGCTTATACCGTCCAATATTGAAGGTCGGCACCCTAGGCCGAGCCAACATAGTGACAGATCACTAGGGATTTTTGTTTATGTATTTTTTTCAAATAGGACTCGTAAATATTTTAATAGTAGGATGGGAACGGAATATAGGAGGGAAAATATTATGATAATAATTGTTAACTAATAGAGTGATAAACAAAACAAACAATGATATTATACCCATTATTATCAAAGTTGTATATTGTTTTTATCATCACTCAGCCTGCGCAGTAGCATTAAATAATAACCATAAATAACAATATAGGCTGTGGGCATGACGAAACGAGACATTTACATGAGTCGATTGTATAATAACAATGTTATGGCTGGAACACTTGTTGACTGTACGTACTTATCATCATCCGGATGAATACGCCTCGTTGAGCTGGAAGCATACGGACTATAATAGACATATCTGGGTGGTGGATTGGTACAAATGGACGATAAAAGCTTTTGGGAGTAGTATTAATAAAATACCTTCCTCATAATTATAATATATTAATATGCCGTGTAGACGTAATAATAACGAATATGGTTTACCTTGCGAGTTTGCACCTATAATAATCGTTTATTGCGACCTCTGCAGCATTGCCCGCCAGGCGATGGTAGACGCGAGAAGGAGTTTTCGGATGGCTAGAGTACATCGTGATGGTTGTTACCAGATTACCAATAAAAATAATTATAAAAAGCAAGACACACACAGCAAAAAAAAAACGTGGTGGCTGTTAAGGCGGGTACCGATATTCCGATAAAAAAAAAGAATTGAAAAAAGGAAAGTCAGCTTTCGCAATTATGACCGAAGGATAAAATTTCACTGGAGAAAATTTTCCGAAGGGGTTAAAATTTCCCTGTCACACCGCTGTATAGTAGGGCCCTCGTAGTTGCGACATGTTATTAGGCTAATTAAAAATTCACAAAATAAAATCTGATACAGTGACACGGAAAAATAAATGATTTCGACTGGCTTAATAGTCTGTTTTGTGCATTAATTTTATAATGATAATAAATAATTACATATTATGCAGTTGGTATAGTTTGTCGCTTTACGAAATACGTTACTTGTATTTTTTCCCTCTATTGTTTATCAAAAGTTCTGAGAAATTTCAATTTTGACCTCCTTAAAGTACCAACTAGATAAAATTTTACACAAGAAACTACCCTCGAAGTTGATGATTAAAGACATTTTTCTACTATGGAAAAAGTTTTTTTCAAACACAAAAATAAAACACTCTTTATTGTAAAATCAATACATGCTTCGCTCCACTCAGTCACATCATCTCTACATAATAATCGGGAAAAACTAAAAAAAATTTCTGACGACGAGAATACTTACACAATACCAGTTTTTCATTAAATCGATTTCATCGTAGGTTAGGTAGGTAGGTAATTCAAAATTAAATAATCTTCGACATATTCTCGAAATATTTATATTAGGTAGTTTATTCTGAACATGGTTTAACTACTTTAACTTTCGGTATATCAAAATAATATATTGTCAGTTGACTGTTTTTGTACTATTTATATACAGCTAAAGTTTTTGTCTCACTCACTCATTAGATAAATTATTACTTATTTTGTTAAAATTGTGTAAATATATTAATATACTTTCTGTATTCAGTATTACAAACTTCAAAATATATTCATCGTTTATGCTTTACTGTACTTTCCTTATTTTGTATTCTATTGATAATATTTTTCACCAATTTAACAGCTACATACTTAAACTTCATATAATATATAGTTATAAAATATATTACACTAAGGTGGTTTGTATATTATTATAAGACATCGTACAAGTTATATATAACATGTATGACGTATGTATTTGTATATGGTGCTTGGCAGTGAATAGTTGTGTGTTTTTTTTCTCGAAAACGAACTCAATACACATGTAAAGGGGGAGGGGGGTGGTGTTTAGCTGAGAAAATTAATATTTGTCTTCGAGACGAATGTGCGACGAATAAACAACATCCAAACGCAGCAACTCCAGCTGTTACCGGGGTAACTCAACCACCGAGTAAACATGGCAATAATAATTGGCAAACATATATATATAGGTATAGATGGGTCCAAAAATCCCGATCCAGCTATACATATCAATATATATCGTGTTTGCAGGATGTGTGCAGGAAAACCGTTATTTACTCGATTAGTTTGGGTTTTGACTTTATTCCCATTTTAACAAAAAAATATTGACACAAATTTCAATGTACCTACGCTGTGGGTATATTATATACAGTATGGATATAGGACACACGTCGATGTTACATGTTAAATGCTGTACAAAATATATGAATGCATAATATTATGTGTATATATTGTATGTGAGTGGAAGACACTAAAAAACGGATTCATATACGACCAAACGGAAAACACATATTACACATTATCTTTTGTATCTGAATACATAAAATCCACATTGGGTTTATATATAGACATCCTGCAGGATATTTGAATAATAATTAGACAACGTTATACGCATAGTATATAATATAGATTATAGATATTTATTAGACGATTATAAAGTTTTAATTTTTTTTAATTTCTGAAAAATGACCAAACATATATATATAGGTACTTACTTTTAAATTCTGAGCTGGGCGATAAATGCATTGATTTTACAATGGATACAATTACATGCAATTATAATAATAGATACATACAATTTTCACTGAGTATTTATGTTTGAATTATCATTTTCTATACACGATAAAATTTTCAAAATATTTTGAGCCATTTCAGGACATATTCAGTTTAAATTTTTTTTAGTATTTTTTTTTTTATAAATGTCAATAAAATATGTTGGATCAAAAAGCGTTAAAGTTTAAACAAGACTCCTGGTATATTGATGCTATAACAGTTGAAAAATATTAAAAATACATAGGCGCATTTTTTTTTATAAACTTTTTACTTTCGAATTCAGAGAACATATTTTTATCAAATTGAAAATTGAAAAACAATTTTGTAATTAAAAAATTATAAAATATTCAACTTTTATAGCTAAGGATTGAAAATTTAAAACAAAGTTCCACGTAAGTAGGTTATTCTGTAACCAATAAATATAAAAACACATTTTTTATAGTTATTTTATGTTTATATTTGGGTGAAATTGCATATTAAATAACCAAGGTCCAAGAATAACAATTTTAGTTATTCTGTTGTAATTTTATAATATAAATTCAACTTACCGGGTACCTAATTAATAATAAGTAATCACAATATAAATAAAAAATAAAATATCCAAACTGACAAACCATCTCCGCTCAGAATCGCATTGCGTATACAGTGATATTATATCATTGAATTCAGATTTAATACTATCCATTATACAGTTACCCAATTGTAACCTATTGTACAGCAGAGTGACTAGTGACATCCTGCACTTAACCGCTTTTTTTTTTTAATTTAACTTTAAAATATTAAATTTGAGTTAGTTTGAGAACTTCTTTGTTAGTACCATTCGTCCTTTCAGTTCATCAAAACAATACAGCTTGAATCACTTAAACATATAAAAAAATGTCCGTTCATTTTTTGTGCTTTTACTAGCGAATTAATGTGTTGTTTACATGAGGTGATTAACCAAGCCTGCTTACCACCATATTTTACTTTAACAATGAATTTATTCAAATTCTTGGAATTTTTATTTTGAGGAGTGTCCCGTGGTGATACAAACTTTTATTTGGATATTTTTTTTTGAATTTTGAATTTTGACGTACTTAATTCAAAATTCAAACGTTTAAAATGATCTGTTTAATATTTTACTGTAGAAAGGTGTGATCCATTTTTGAAAAACAGAAGTTTGTATTTCCACAGGTATCTCGTATCTCATTAAGTATAGTACAACAAATCTCAACAGTTTGAAAATACTGTTTTAATAGGTAAGTATATATAAAATTTCAAAAATTAGATTTTT